CGGCAGGGGAGTGCAGTTGGTGGCTATCAGGCCAGCAGAGGAGCAGTTAGGCACTATCAGGCAGGCAGGCAGAGGTGGTTAGGGGTGATCAGGCAGGCAGGCGAGCGGTTAGGAGCCAGCAGTCCTGGATTGCGAGAGGCAGTCAGACATCCCCTGAGGGGTCCCAGTTTGGAGAGGGTGTAGGCTAAGGGACCGCCCCATGCATGAATTTCATGCACCGCGCCTCTAGTATAATATAATAGCCACATGTGGCTATTGAACAGCTGAAAAGTAAACAGGCTGAATTGAAATGTTCTTTTAAAGAAATTCAAGTCAGAACCATGTGCTTTGGTGATTATTTTTATGTTATTCACAGTTTTTCTATTTCATTATGGTTTCTCTTTCCATTTTAGCAACATTCACTTTGAAAACACCACTTTGGTGCAGCTGTGTTTTCCTGAGAGAACAAAAAAAGACATCCGTGGCTGAGTCAGGAGAAAACAGGGGTCACAGGGCACGTGGCAGGGAGAGTCATGGGGGAAAGAGAGCCAGCCACCTTTTTTAAAAAAAAAAAATCTTCACCTGAAGGCATGCTTAGCCATATGAAGGACAGACATGCTTACAGAGAGGAAGGACATGCTTACATAGAGGAAGGAAAGAGAGAGACATCGATGTGAGAAACATAGGTCAGCATGCTCCCTGACCGGGATCAAACCCACAACCCAGCCATGTGCCCTGACTGGGAATCTAACCAGCCTTTTTTAAAAAAAAAAAATCTTCACCTGAAGGCATGCTTAGCCATATGAAGGACAGACATGCTTACAGAGAGGAAGGACATGCTTACATAGAGGAAGGAAAGAGAGAGACATCGATGTGAGAAACATAGGTCAGCATGCTCCCTGACCGGGATCAAACCCACAACCCAGCCATGTGCCCTGACTGGGAATCTAACCAGCAACCCTTAGGTGCACCAGAGGACACTCAACCAACTGAGCCACTTCGGGAGCTGGGCAAGAGCACCAGCCACTTCTGAGAGGAGTACCTTTCCCCTCCCAATGGAAGGACTGTCTGCTCCAGTCCCTCAGGGTTCAGTCCTTGGAGGGTTTTATGCTCTCTCTACACCCATGTGATCAATCTCCCCTACTGTAATCTGTGCTCCCTGAGAATCTCCAAGGCAGAAGGTTGGTGGTGTTGAGAATTAAACTGCCAGGGATACAGGAGCATCTCTGTTCACCTGAACTGGTACATAAATCCCAGCAGAACTGAGCTGAGTCAGTGGAATAATGATTATAGCCACCATTTATTGGTGAATTACTATTAGCCATGTCCTGTGCTAAGTACTTTACACACACTGCCTCCTTCGCTCCACACAATGACCCTATGGTGAAGGCACTGCTACCTGATTTAACAGAAAAGAAAACGGATCTGGTATAGAATGAAACTAGTGGAGACCCAATATATAAACAAAACAATGCCTACTTTGTAACCTCAGAGGTGTTAAAGAGGGTTCCCTTTCAAAAACATACTTCTGTCAAAGGCCAGGTAAAATCTGAAATTCCCTAATATCCAGTAAACCCTTAAAGATTTTCTGTGAAAATGCTGAAATTGCTGGGAAAGGTCCCATGGGTCTTGTCAGTCATTTATATCATGGTATTAATGGATTTAGCTGACCTTACCCTAAGAATGGGTTTTTATAGAGAGGAATATAGAATATACAAAAGATAACGAGATAATAGTAATATATTGAGATAACACACTTCAGGACATACAAAGACCTTTCACATGTATCATCACATATGATCCTCTTAGAATGAGCAGGAAATAATAAGGCAAAAAGATGAAACTGGAGAACAAAAGGCTAACTTTGTCCCCTTCACAATTTTACCCATAGTTCCCCACCCATCTTCCCCAGCCCATTCATTGCCCAATAGTCTCTCTGTTCCGGACCCTCCTGCTCTTCTACCCTGTGGCCTATGTGCATGAGTTTCCTTTCTTCTTCATTCTCAAAGCCACATTCCAGCTCCAATTTTCATTTCTCCATGTCCCCCACCTCATACCTGCATGTTAGTCCCAGGAAAAGTAAATACCCTATAAAAACCTTTCCTAACAATTAAATTCCCAACCTGAAAGATATGGGATTTTTATAAAAAATATTCATAAGCAAAAATAAACCAAAAATTTTAGAATGAGAAATCTATTATTACTAAAGAAATTTCATTTAAAACATAGTATTTTAAATTCATTTTCTGCCATGCAAAAAAATTTGGCAACATATCAATAAATGCCAAATTTGAACAATAAAACTAATAAAAACTCCAGGATTTATTATTCAGACAAAATATAAGGTTTCATAGACATTGAATCATTTGCAATCAGCAGTCAACATGTAATATACCTGTGGCTTCCTTCCCCAATCTAAGATGGACCTCACTTATTTTCCAGGAACTTGATTAAGACAAATCACAATTTTTTAGGAGGCTTTCCTTTTGATAATAAATATTATAGAGTTAACTGTAGCTTATTGGGTTCAAATAAAATCTTATTTGAAGTGACCACTGATATTTTTCTTTTAAATAAGTCTTGAACAAAGTAATATTAATCTATGTATTAAAACCTGTGTGTCAATATTTGTGAAGTTGCTGCTTTACAAAAAAATAAAATCACCCAGGAATATATAAGCAGAAATACTAATTCTATGCTACTCTAAATTTTATCAGGTTTTGTATATTACTCTACCTATACAGAGAGGGAAAATCCTCATTCTAAATTTATTGAACAAATACTTACTATGAATACTTACTATGTGCCACACTAAATGCTGAATGCTATAAATAACACAGAAAGGACTGACCAATTGAGTTAAAGAATTGAGACCTGCCCCCAAATGGGTGACTCAGTTGGCTGGAGCATCTCATACACCAAAAAGGTTGCGGGTTTGATTCCTGGCGGAAGCGCATATGGAAGGCAGCCAATCGATGTTTTTGGCAGCCACTCGATGTTTTTCTCTCACACTGATGCTTTTCTCTCTTTCTCTCTCTCTCTCTCTCTCTCTCTCTCTCTCTCTCTCTTTCTCTCTCTCTCCCCCCTCCCCCCCTTTCTTCTCTTTTTTCCTCTCTCTCTCCAAAATCAATAGAAACATATCCTTGGTGAGAACTGAAAAAGGAATTAAAACAATAAGTAAGAAGTATTGAATACTTCCTAGGTGCTAGTCACTCTTCTAAGAACTTTAAATATTATCCTTAAAACATGCCTATGAGGTTTGAACAGATGAGAAAACCGGCACAGAGAGTCAAAGTAATTTTCCCAAAATCACATAAAATGTGGTCAGCAGAACCCAATTTGAACCCATAACTACAGCTTTAAAAAAAAAAAAAAGAGGAGGAGGAAGAGGAAAGAGAGATAAAGGAGGCAACAGTATGCTATATAATAAAAGCCTAATATGCTAAGTGTTGGGTCATCTGGTCAGCTGTTCAACCAATCAAAGCGTAATATGCTAATGATATGCTAAGGCCACTCAACCACTCGCTATAATGTGCACTGACCACCAGGGGGCAAATGCTCTGACTGGTAGGTTAGCTTGCTGCTGGGGTCCAGCCAATCTGGACTGAACAAGATGGGCCAAACATGCCCTGGAGCCCTCTTATGGTCCCTCCCTGGCTGGCCAAACTCCCATGTCCCTCTCTGGCCCCGATCGTGCACCAGTGGGGTCCCTCGGCCTGGCCAGCACCCTCTTGCAATCTGGGACCCCTCGGGAGATGTCGGAGAGCCGGTTTCAGCCCGATCCCGCAGGCCAGGCCAAGAACCCCACTGGAGCATGAATGCATGTACTAGGCCTTTAGTTTCATATAAAATGACCTAAAGTCCAAGAAATCTGTGTGCTCCCAGCACACCCAAAAGAACTACCTTAAAATGGGATATTAGCAACAATTTTTATTTTCAGAGTTTAAATCATTTCTAAACAGCAAAGTACCTTGAAGGACACTGGCTCTGGTGAGAGCACCTCCAAAGAAGTATTTGAACACCTGCTCTCAGGACGTGTTCTTGAATTGGAGGCTGGTTTTGAAATCCCATCTAAGTTCCCCTTTATAATATCCATTGATATCCTGAAACAAAAATTTTAAAGCAAGTTATGAAGTGTATTTGTTTCATTAGTGTTAATATGCAATTCATGGCCTTGTTATAAGAATTATGTTGCTACCAAAGTCACACTACCCTAATTTCATGAAAGACGTCTGTGTCTGTGGATCATTAGATTTTATTTCACTGTAGGTGGAAAACGCTACCTCAGATGTTAGATTCTGAAAGTGGCTAAAAAGAATGCAGAGATGAATGCCATCTTGATGGCTTCCTGTACTCTGACAGATAATTACTGTGTCCTTGAACTGAGAATACACTCATGAAGCACCACACCTCTCAGCCAAGAGTCATGCTTTGTCGTAATGACTGGCTAAGGCCTCTACTTTCTTCTGGGTTTGCCTGCCTTATCCCAGTCTTCCACCTTGTCTTCCCTCTCAGCTCTGCTTTCTCCTCTCCTCCTTGGTGCTGTATTTTCATGGAGTACCGACCTCCAGGTCACTGCTCTTTATCTATCAACCCTCCCCTTCTAAAACCCATGACACTACTTCTGCCCTCTGAGGCAACAGAGAACAAAACCTACTTTTTCAAGTAGGGGGACAAACTTTCATTATCTGGCTATACATCACCAGTCTCTTAAACTATTTTTCTTGTGTCACCACCCACAGGCCTCTCACCACTCTGGCTGCTCTCTTCCCAGTGCTGCTTTCTGAAGCAGGAACTATGAGGCAGGGTGGTTTAAACGAGTAGCAGGACTTGGGTACTGCTTGCACATTGACCCTGTGCCGGCCCGGCCCAGATTTGGTCAGGAATGTGAGGCTGTCATGCATACTGAATAAAATGAAAGGAATAGGGAGAGTTCCAGTTTTGCCTTCTCCATACTTAGCTTTATATGTGAATTGAAATCTTCCAACAAATCCTTTCCTAAATTCCTATCAATTAGGAATTAAACCACTTCTCTCATAACAAAATGAAGAAAACCAATTGCATCTGGCTCAGCAAGTGTTAACAAAGTCCTTTCCTTGTCCTACAAAATGACTCGTCATTCTCTGCTGTTTAAACAGCACAGGCAGAGTCCAGGGAAGTTCTGGACACAGGCAGAAGCACAAACATAAACCTGATGCTTCTCCAAGGCACACAGAGGGATAACATGATTTAGCCCCCAACCATTCAGTGTGCCAAAGCTGGTGCTTAAGGAACCATTAGGTCAAGTCTTTCCATCTCAGCAAATGAAAAAGGTATTGGTCTCAATGTTATCCAACTCTGCAAAAGGGCTTTGGCTCGCTCAGGAAGGCACTGACATTATTATTGTGGGATGACGGATTACCCTGGCCAATCATGTCACAATCAAAAAGCAAAAGGCACTGAAAGGTCAAATGTCTTGTAAATGCCCTAAGCAGCTTGTCAGGGAGACTGATGGCAGCTTACAGAAGGAGCAGTGAGATGGAGGCGTGTGCAGAGCTAGTACAATACATGTCAGTGAAGGGTGAGGCCCAGGGAGCTGTCAGTGACATGGATCAGCTATAAGGCTCCAGAAGTGTTTCAATCTGCTTTAGAAATAGGTCTGCTCTATTATTTTTGCTCCTGAAAATAATAAATTAAATAAAGTACAGTTCCCAGGGTGAGTGGGAATGTAACTGGCAATCTTTGAATTTGGCCATATAGAAAAAAAGTATGGACAAAGGGCACTGAATTAGGATCTCACAGATGTATTTGAGTGTTTGAGAATAAACCTCAATAGCCACACAGAAATTCCACAAGAAAAATAAAGCACTGTACAAAAAAGAAAGCAATTAAATGACAAAATTGGGGAGTAACTGGAACTTTCATATTTGATTGTGAGAATTCAAAACAGGACAACTGTGTTATAGAACTGCTTGGCATTTTCTTATAAAGCTAAACATACACGTACCAAATGATTCCACAATCTCATTTCTAGATGTTTACCCAAGAAATATATGTTTCACATACAAAAACTGTACATGAATGTTTATAGCAGCTTCATTAATTGCCCAAAACTGGAAACAATCCAAATGTTGCTCAACTGCCCTAGCCAGTTACTCAGTGGTTAGAGCGTCGGCCAGAGGACTGAAGGGTCTCAGGTTCGATTCCAGTCAAAGGCACGTACCCCGGTTGCAGACTGGGGACATATGCGGATGTATCTCTCTCACAAAGATGTTTCTCTCTGTGTGTGTCTCCCCACTCCCCTCTTCTCTCTCTAAAAATCAGTGGAAAAAATATCCTCCAATGAGGATTAACAAATGTCACTCAAGGAGGGAACAGATAAGCAAACTGTGGTACAACCATCCAAATGAATACTACCCAGCAATACAAGGGGACAAACGACTGATACAAAACATGGAGGAATTTCAGCTGCATTGTATTAAATTGAAAGAAGCCAGGTTCAAGAGACTCCATAATGTTTGCCCAATTATACACAAGTTCTGGAATACACAAAACTTTAGGGGAAATGGTTGCCAGGCCTAGGAGTAGGGAGGGGTTAACTACAAAAGGTACCAGGGGATTTGGGGGGAAATTGTTCTGTATCTTGATTGTTGTGGCAATTGTGTTTGTCAAATCTCATTGGACTGCACATTAAAAGGGTGATTTTTATCGTATATAAAGTATACCTCAATGCTAAGTTAACCTCTCTTACAAATTTTTGTCTTGTTATATTTATATATCCCGAAGATCAATGAGAATTGCTTAGTCAAAGAACATTTGCGTTTCAAATTCCGGTAGTCTGCCAAACTTTTCTCCAAAAACACTGTACCAAACCACACTACTGCCACCAAGTTATGATGAGATGGAAGTGTTTCCCCGCATCGGAGTGGGGTCAATGGTTAACATCAAAGCTTTTTCATCTTCGTCAATCTGGTAAGTGCCCAAAGGTATCTGGAGTTTGACTGACTTTGCTTGAATTACGAGAGAAGTTGAGCCTCCAGTTAATTGTTCGATGGCCACCTTTTTTTTTTATTTTTCCGTTGAAATGCTGATTTGCATTCTTGGTCACTTATGGTCTATTTTAAGTGGCTGAAGATTGATTTTAATATAAATTCTAGGCTGTTGGTCAGACTCCCAGGCACGCCCTCCCCGTCTCTGCCCTCCCCCAGGCCCCGCCCCTCTCCCTGCAGCCCGAGAACTCCGGGCCAGCGGCCGGACCAATGCCGCTGCGCTCCGCGTGGGCTGGTGGCGGGGCGACCGAGCCGGCTCCTCACCTGCCCGAGGAGACTCTGGGAACTAGTCGCTCAGAGGCACGCCACGGACGCTCGCAGCGTCACCCACTGCCCCCCAAAACAAGAAGGGCCTTCCTGTCACCACAGTTCGCTACTCTGAAGCTGAGAGGAGTGGCGAGTCCAAAGCCCTCCAGCTTTTGGGAACGCTGTTCCCCTGGCAACCGAGTCACGCCGCGCCCAGTCTCGCGATAACAGGAAAGGGCCGTACCACCCAGCATTGAGACGTGGGGGCGGGACAGCGAGGAGCTGGGCAGCTCCATTGGCTCGTTCGTGTTCCCGGAGCACTGCGCGGGTGGGGAATGGTTTGTCCGTGTGGAGGCTGCACTCGGCACGGGGATGTCTGGGTGCTTGTGTGGCTCCGGCCCTGGCTAGCCATATGGCGCCGGCCCTGCAGGTCCGTCACCCTCCCTGAGCTCGTTGCCTCCTCTGTAAAATGGGGATGGTAACTCCAAAAGGTCATGTGTGTGAAGTTCTTGGTAAAGTTTGGGTGCCATATAAATGAAACATTAGTTATTGCACAAATAGGGCTACAGCCCAAAAAGGGTAAAAGTGATATTTGTGGTTTCTGTCATTGTCAGTGCATGAAGATTCTTTCGTTTAGTCCACAAACTGATTTTCTTCATCCCCGGTACCGTGAAATACCTGCTTTTTTTCCCAGTCTGAGCAGCACTTTACAGTTTACAAGGGATTTTCACATACTTGGCCCCTTTATCATCGTTGTTTTAGGTGGGTAGGATGTGGATTCTTCAAGTGGTTTTCAGCAGAGTAAATAGACAAAGGTTAAGTGAGTTCGTCAAAAACCACAACTACATTCTAGGGCAGTGCTGGCTGTAAATGCCGCCCATGTACTGCTAACCCTGCATTTCTATCTCCAGCCCCGGCTGCTCCCCTGAACTCCACGCTGTTGTATCTGACTGTGACCTGGCAACTTAGACATCCACTTAGATGTCAGAAGCATCTCAAACTTCACACCAAAAACCAGTCTTCTCCACGTCCCCTCCTCCACCACCATCACCACCACCCCCTTAATCCATCTCAGTAAATGGTAACTCCGTCCTGCCAGACTCAGACCAAGAGCCTTGACGTCATCCTCAATTTCTTTTCCTCTCACACTCCACAATCAAGTTATCAACCCGTCATCTCTACACTCAATATATATCCAGAATCCAACCACTTCTCGCTGCCTTCCGTGCTCCAGTGAGTTACATCCTGCCACCGTCTCTCATGGAGATTTTTGCAATAAGCTTTTACTGTTGCCTCCCTTGACTCTCCTGCTTTCAAACAGGAGCCTGAATGATGTTTTTCTAAAACCTAAGTCAAATCATGTCACTCTGCTCAGGCCTTTCCAGGGCTCCTCATTTCTCAGTCTTTACAATGCCCACCAGTCCTGAATGACCAGGCCCTCTGTTCTCTCTCAGACCTCCATTTCTACCACCCTTTCCTGGCACACTTTGGCTCAGCCTCACTGTCCTCCTGGTTAGTGTTTCTATACAGCGTTTCTCCGGAGATTTATGTTTTTCCAAATTTACAATAAATCAGCTGAGAAATCAGGAAAACTGGAGAAAGTATTCTAATTCTCCTATAAGAATCAAACCTTAGCCATCAACACAGAGAAGTTACTGAGGAAATCCACTGACATCGAGTTGAAAGCAAGAGCAGGAAATGCTGATACTCAGAAGTTGAGGTCAACATTCCAGAATCTGGGACAGGAGCACCTGGGAGAGATGTGGTCACAGTCTGATAGGTCAGTTGTGCTTGGAGTTGTTACAAGGATGTGTTCCTGGCCCTGTCTGTGGCTAACAGGGAGTCATTATTGCAAATAATATAAATATTAAAAAATTAACACTCACTGTATACTTTATACAAATTCTATGAGTGTGGTTCCAAGAAAAAGTTTTGATTTAAAATAAGTCCTTAAATTGGCAATTTCCAACTCACGATGCTGTGAAAAGCTGTTAGCCCTGCTTGGAGATTTGTATGTTACATTATTCAAATGACACCCCAAGATGGTCTCTGTAGTCTCCAGTATTTGAATATTTGCTACAAGCGACAGTTCTTGTAAATATTTCTAAATTTAAGAGGTCTTACTTTTTAAACAAATGCTTCAGGAAGTCATGATAACAAGGAAAGAATATGAAGGTGGTTGGAAGTATTTTAGAATAACAAGGGTTGATAACTCCTGGTGAAGCATGGTGGCAACCATGCTTGGTGGGAATTGCTGCTTAATATTTTAACCCTGTTGACTTGGCTTCTGTCATTATTTGCTTGCTAAAATAATAGAAAAGTTATTTTGATTTTCTGAATTATATAAATCATCCCATTCGATTGAATACCCTATTGATTGTCATTTGAATACCCCGTTGGTTGTGGTCATACTGGTTTTAGAAAACACATTCCTCTGTACCTGGAGGCCAGGACTGCACAATTACTCTAAATTGCCTCAGTGGCTCCAGAGAATGTGTTCCTGTTGACTCAGTGGTCCCAAGACCCGAAACTATAATTAATCGTTGTAGATAACTAATCAGCTCAATCTAGCTTTTGTAACAAACTGCTTTTTTGCTAACCAGGTTCCTCATTCCTAACCCTGAGATGTAATCAATAGCTTTGTGATTTTTGCCTATAAATCTGGTGTTGCGGTCATTTAACCACTAAGAGATTTGGAAAGCAAAATGCCCCCTCGTAGTCCCGGCTTCAAAATAAATGTGACTCCTTAAATCGACTTCTTGAGGCGTCCTTGTGTGATTCACGGGGTACATTACAACACTGGCAGTTTTGATTCTTTAATATCTGTTGGGAATTTGGAAACACTACTCCTTGTTGTTCCTCCAATACAAATACCAACCCCTCAACACACACACACACACACACACACACACACACCAGCCCATTGCTTCCTCTGCCTAGAATACAGTTGAGTTGCCCAGCTATTCATGTGGCTTGCTTTCTCTCTTCACTCAGTGGCTTTTTCAGGGAGGTCTTTACTGATCACCCTATGTAAAGTAATCCCTCCCCATCTCCTCACTGCTTATCCTCAGTTCCCTTGACTCTTTTATTTTTTTAGATGGAGGAGAAATACCACTGTTTGGGTTCTGATACTAAATAGCTAGGTAGCCCAGGGATCTAGGTGATGGCAATGTTTCTGGCCCACTGACCAGTCTCAGTAGCTAGAGACCAGATAATCTCCAAATGCATGCATAATTCTAATATTGCAGGAATAAAGGCCATTCTTTCCTCTGTCTGTCTGTGTGTGTGTGTGTGTGTGTATGTGTGTGTGTCGACCAATGGTGTTCATCAAGAAAACAACACATCGCCCTGGCCAGTGTGGCTCAGTTGGTTGGAGAGTCAGTCTGTACACCAAAAGATTGTGGGTTCAATCCTGGTCAGGGCATAAACCTAGGTTGTGGGTTCGATCCCCAGTCAGGGCTTGTATGGAGACAACAGATCGATATATATATCTCACATCCATGTCTCTCTCTCTCTCTCTCTCTCTCTCTCTCATCAATGAAAGGAAAGAAGGGAGAGAGGGAGGCAGGGAATGGGAGAAAGGGGCTGAGCAGGGGTGCGTGCCGAAGGAAGGAAGGAAGGAAGGAAGGAAGGAAGGAAGGAAGGAAAGAAGGAAGGAAGGAAGGAAACATGATTTCTTGGGTGTGTGGAGGGGAGAAAAAGCTAACTGAAATCAGGGCTGTGATCAGTGCCCATGATTAACTGGTGTTTTCATTATTTAAAGTATTGCTTTTAAAATATTTGCAACATAAGATAAAGCAAGTTCAATAAAAACTTAGTCTCTTTACTGTCAACTTTTCAAACTAAGTCCCCATTGATTATATTTTGCATAAAACTCGTCTCATCTTGAGTTGTTTTCTGTCATTCTTGCTTTGTTTATTTACCTCCTGCTGCTTCTGTTTTGCAAACGGCTGAGAAGCTGCATGTGCCTTGAGAGCAAACTTTTGTGCTGTTTTCTGAAATATGTGTTCAAAAAACCCAAACATATTCTAGAAGGTATTGTGCTTTCCAAAATAATTCTTAAAGATTTCTTCCAGAGTCAAGTTATTTTAAGCTAAAATTCCCCTGGTCTCATTCCAGGTTGGGGACATATGGCAGTGCTGGTTTCGGAGTTGGGTTTTCTTTTGGTTTGTTTTCCATCTCTCTCTCCTCTTGACATTCTCCTTCTGAGGGGAGTCAGATTTTGAATGAATGAGAGAGAGCCCACATTGTATTCCATCTGGGCTGCAACTCCCACTCCAGTCTTGTTGCCCCAATTTCCTTTTTCTCAGCATAAGCATCAGCCAAACGCAACAACACACTGGGAGAGGAACCTCATTAAGCCTCATAGATTCTACAAACCAGATGAAATGGTCATTTCTTTTGAAGGGCAGTTAAAAGTGTATGTCACTGGACAGTTCCCACCTCCTGTGAGTCTGTGGCTTAGTGTTATTTAAAAATAACATTTACTAAGTGTTTAGGACACGCTTTAGATGCATTATTTCACTTTACTTCATAACATCTGGTGAGGCGGCACTATTATTATCCAGATTTATAGTTGAGAAGCAGAGCACAGAGGGGTTAAGTAATTTTCCCAAAGTCATCCAGGAACAGACACTGGGATTCCAGAGCAAGTTTCCAAGACTGCTCTCTTCACCTCCTCACTGAATTCAAGAAAAGAGCTTATTGGCATCCACTAGATGGTGCTGACTATCTGTTAAAAGACAAAACTGCAGCTGCTCTTTCAGAAACTCGCCTTGCTTGGATTTTAGGTGTGATTCAAGAAACTACTGAAATATATACTGTATGTTTGAACTGTGCTTGAGTATATTTTTAAGTAGCTATCCAAATAGGAAAAGTGAAAATTAGATCTCAAAAAAAACCAGAATGGATTTTTAAAAATATGTTGGTACATATTACGAATATCTAATATCAAATACCATTGGTGACTCACACAGACTTAAAAAGAAATCCATGTTTTATTTCATTTATCTCTTTTACACCAACTGCACTTCCTCCCGCACCTGCCAATCC